CCCCCACTCCCCACACTGCCCAAAGCCCCCCCCCACCCCGCACACGCCCCTGCGCAAACGCGTCACTCGCGTTTACCGGCGTTCAGTGAACGCGCATTCAGCGCATTCAAAACCTGAACGCAAAACCCGCGTTCTATGAACGCGCACAGCCTGCAAAGCCTTTTGTCCTTATCACGGACTGGCAGCCGGAGGCAATCTCAGCGATCCTGGCCCAGGTGGGACCTGGCGGACTCGAATGAGTAGTGGAATACGCGTCTAAATCGGTGCCTGCCTGCAAGCGCAATTACGCCGCCCCGACAGGAGAATGCTATGCGGCTCTATGGGGAATCAGTGACTTTCGAGCCTATTTGTATAGACCGAAGTTCACACAGGTCACCGATCATGAGCCATTATTAGCCCTGAAGAAATCTAAGGATTACTCGGGCATGATCGGGAGATGGGCACCAGTGCTACAGAGCATGGACTTCGACATTCGTCATCGGAAGCACGAGAGACACGGGAATGCTGACGGGTTGACACGATTGCACCGACCCAAGAAGGTCCTCAAGAGTGAGGAGGTCATTCCGTGGAACGAGCCGGAGGAGGAAAGCGGACCGCGGTACAGACAAGTGGAAATTATGTCGAAGGAGTGAGTAACACGGAGCTTCGCTCTGCCCTCTTTGCAGCCCTGCTCACTCTCTCTCTCTCCTCCCCTCTCATTATGGCTACCCCACCAGTCTCTGCAACCCCTTTTTCCCCTGCTGATTCATACCCTTTCGCCTCGTCGGCCTTCTTCGCCACCCTTCCCGACAGATTCTGCTATTTTTGCACGTGTATTACACAGGTATATGGGCTGAATTGTCATCCTTTTGAGACCGGATTCGTTGAATGGGTGAACTGTGCCACGTGTGTCAATCGTGCATACAAGGCATGCGTCCGATACCGAACAAATAGTAGGGAATGAAAATGCCCTCTGTGTAGAACGAACAAACTGCCTACGGAGGTTTGATTCGAGGCTGCCCGTACGGACGGCCTCGAGTATGACGAGAAATACCGACGAGTAGAGGTCTGGACGGATAAAATCCTATTAGCTAAGTTGGCTGGTCTACCATTGGATCATCTCACTAAGCACGACAGATGTTGGGATACTGAGAGATCTAAGGATTACCGATGGATCAACGGTCACCTAAAAAAGCGTAAAACTAGCGGTTCCTCATCCATTCCAGAGATATGATTGGACTCGATCTGCCCATGAAGAGCAGGCCGCTCACTTCGCGATACGTGTCACGGAGGCAACTATAGATCAGAATCGATGGTTCTGGTCTAATATACGGGACGATGTCAGATACGTAGTCGCCAACTGTCTGGTCTGTGCCGCCGATCGTGCCCCAATACAGGGACCAAACACGATAGTACCGACAAAAGTAGAGCGCCCTTTCCAGCGAGTCAGTATAGACACAACAGATATCGACGTGCCACCTGACCCAAACCCTTGCGAATATTCCATCCTTTTAGTTTTAATAGACCATTTTTCCAAATACATCGAGGTATACCCCTGCAAGACCCGCAAGGCTGCAGAGATAGCCATGTACATCGATCGGTTTCTCTATACCCACCTGATACGGAAGAGATCCTAACCGACAATGGGTCCGAATTCAAAGGCGAGGTAGAGGAATTACTCGCACGACGAGGCATTACGCTTCGGCACACGGCACCCCACGTTTCTAAGTCGAACGGGTTGGTCGAAAATGCCAATCGCATGATTAAGACTGCCCTTTGTAGAAATCTAGCGGCCCGTGACACGCGTCCTTGGCCCGAGATCATATATCAAATCGTCGGGACTCACCGGGCCACCCCTCACGAATCCACGGGGTTCACCCCCTTTCAGCTTCACACCAATAGCCTCCCATGCGTCGATTACTGGGGTAACTCGGAAATTGCCGAAGCAGGGGGTAGAAACACGCGTGCCGCTCTTAAGGCCAAGGCCAAAAGGTATGCCGATTTAATGGAAAGGGCCGTCCCGAAGCTAGCCCGAAAGAGACAGAAAATGACCGATTTAGCCCACGGAAGGCAAGTCCGTAGCTACGAGGCCCGAAATGGAAACGTTGGTCCCCAACATCAATATAAATTAGGGGACCTGGTGCAGGTACATAAATGTGCACGCGACCGGAAACTCGCTCCCAAATTCTCTGGCTGTTTCCGCGTTGTCGAACTCGGACCCAACGGTGCTAACAGGGTGCGCATCGCGCCCGAGGCGAGCGCCAGCCATAGCTTTGTCCCCATTGTCCGACGTACCTGTTACATCCGTCCCCTCCCTCCCTCTGATCTCCCCCCGTTTCCCTCGTTTGCTGAAGAAGAGGACGACGATGATCTAGCTCTCGCCTCGTCCTCCCCCTCCTATTCCCATCCCTCGTCTTCTTCCCCGTCCTCGCCATGAGTTTCATCACGGAGCAAACTCTTGGCAATCATCTGCTGCAGCCACGTGGCTACATCTCTGAGATCCGACAAGTTCGTCATCCGCGGCTCAGTCCTGATCTGTGAAGATTGGCGCACTTCTTCTGCACGGAGGGAGTGTGTGTTGTCGCTGCGTTCCGACTCGCCGGGAGTCTGCAGGCAGTAGTATTGGCGGAGGTGGTGGGATTTCATCGACGGGCAGCTCCAGGGACGAGCCACGTCACCACGGTCGCTGCCTTCAGTAGCGACATCAGCGCGGTCAGCCCACTTCGGCATACCGCGATCTTGACCTCTTTACGAGAGTGGACGCAGCAGTTGTCAGCTGAGTGGCATCACGTTCTTGCGCGTCCAGGGAACAATCTAGTCCCGACGTTCGGGACTAACTTCGAGGGAATTCGCACCTCTCCACACCAGCCGGCAGTCATGCTCCCCACCCTCATCCCCTTCCAACGCCCCCAATGAACCGCATCGCTCCTCTCACTCCTCTCTCCACCTTCGGTCTCCCTTCTCTTTTCCCCACCTTCGGGCAGTCCGATCTCCATCCTCGCCTTTCTTTCCTGCTCGAGCCTCTTGCCGTCCCGCTCCTTGATCCCGGGCATTGGCAGGTGTGGCGCGAAACCTTTGTCGATTTGTCTATGTGCTTGGCCCGAGTGCAAGTGACGTGGACGCGGACCGACGAGCATCAGGAGTGTATTGAGTACGTGGAGCTGCTGATCATCCAGGCTTGGAGAACTGACGTGGACGGCGATCTTCTGGGTTTCCTCTTCGGATCGGTGCTGCCAGGCCATCGCCAGCCAATTACTCAAGAACTCGTCGTCCCGCTCGCGCAACTGGCTGACGATCTCTCTCTCGACATCGTTACGCAAAGTGACGACAGTCCGGCTCCGCACGTCATCACGTGGACGTTAGCGTCGTATCTTCAGTGGACTGCATGCTTGGAAGAACCCGGGAGTGAAAGCACTCTGCCGTCGCGGCATGATTACTTGAAGCCGTACGGAATCATTGATCGTGTCTTCTTCCCGAAGGAAGATCCTGAGGAGGCGCTTGAAGGAGAAGAAGAAGCCACCGAAGAAGAGGGCGACGCCGACGAAGAAACGTCAGAGAAAGGAAGTTATAGTGAGTGCAGTGAAGGGGAGAAGACTAAAGAAGAGGAGGAGGTAGAAGAAGAAGATGAAGGGGAGGAAGCCGGATCGGAGTGGGAGGATTTCCCGGAAGAAGTGGCGCGCACCGGCACGGAGGCGGAAGACCTCGAGGCGGCATGAAGAAGGGAAGAGATCGCCGCCGGGAAAAGCTAGTTGGAGTTCGCCAGCGAGGCGAATTTGCGCATCGACGATGACCCGACCAGGGACCCAGAGCCCCCGAGCCCGAAGATGGTGGCCCAGCAACCGCGGCTCTGAGCGCATCACGACGAAGACGGAGCCGATCCCCCTCCCCCTCCACCCCAGCCCGTCCCCCAGTTCGTCCACGTACCGATGCGGGAAATCGGCCTTCGTCCCCGGTCATTATCCCGCTGTCCCCTTGATTACCTCACCCTCTGCCAGATCTCTACCCCCGTCACCTTCCCTCGCAACCCCTTTCCTCCCAATACCTTCCGTCACTTTTAATCCACCCGTCTCGCCGTTACCATCCATCCCCACCCTTCCTTTCAATGCGCAAACCCCACGTTCTGTTTGCACGTCCTTTTGTTCAGCGCCGCGTGGGAACAGAGTAACGCAGTAGAAGTCTACTATGTAATCACCGGAACCATCCCCGCATGTCGCCATCATGAGTTGTTTCGCGCGGCACTCTTCCGCACTTTCTCCACCCCTTACCCGGACTACCTCGCCTCCCTCCCTCACAGCGGCGATTGGTTTCCCCGCTTTCACCGGATCATCCGCTACGAGGAACTTCCGATCACAGAGGAAGGGATGAACCACTACTTACCCCCACTCCCCCCCAACCCCCCCCATCGACATCCCCCCATGTATAATGTCTATTTTCCCATCCCCACGCGACGTTGATACCCAACACGTGCCCATCCCACCCTCTTCTTCTCATCTACGACCTTTCTGAGGGAGGCGATCGACTGGAGAAATCGCCATGTGTCCTCCGAGCAGTACGAATCAGCAGTTTCGCGAAGATCACGCCATTGACGATGACGTCAACTTATGCTGTGATTCGATGGACTGCGCTGGACTGGGGGTGCAGAGCACATGGAGACCTGATGGACCATGATGGTGCCACCTGGACGATCTCCGAAGTTTGAAGGGCAGGGGGTTGCATATGACAGGACTGCTGAGGCTGGGGATCTAAGTCAGCATGAGCCGGCATGCAGATCTTGCCACGGATGTTGTCGTCAACACATGCCGCGACTCAGTTCTCTCCGCTGACATTGTGCTGATCTAAGCCTCTTACTTCTTCCTGCTTCTTCGTCTCCTCCTACTTACTTGGTTCAAGGTCTTTCATGCAATCAGGAGAGCGCATAGTTTTGGAACCCCCTGCGCGTCACATATATGATGAACCACTTCCCGACCCCGTGCTATCTTTCGTACCCGTTGACTCAATACCCCCTTCTTGTATCATACCGACCCCACAAAACCCCCATCGCTTTTCTTGATTTCAGGCGCCTTGTTTGGGCCCCCCTATTTCCGAAAGTTCTATTGATTCTTGAAATTCTGCTTTTTGTAATTCGGGAAATGCATGGGAAATTACGTGCGCCTTAGCGAGCGCACTTGGAATCGGGCTCGACCGTTAGGAATTACGGAATAAGCGGAGCCTGACGTATATTTTTCCTTGCATGAATATTCTCGGTCACGTCGGATAAAACTTTAGGAATTTTGTGAGAATACGGATAGGCATAGAAATTTCTTTTCCCGCGTCGACTTTTGCGCGCCGATATGGCAATTTCAATTTTTTAATTCATAGGGAAGCTGTAACTGTTTTGGTGCCTTTTTTTTCTCTTGCTGTCAACACCGCGCATGCGAGCTTCCTCCTCCTTATTTCCCGCGTCGTTTCTCTCCCGTGCTTTCTTCTCTCTCTCTCCCCTCCTCCTCTGCCTCTCCTATTGCAACTGTTTTTCCTCTCTCTCTCTCTGCTCTTTGCACGCTTGTTCTCCTTTCTTGATTCTCTGAATCTTGGACCCGTCTCGCGCTGCTTTTCGCGCCTCTTTCCTTCTCGCTCTTCAACCTTGGCTCACGAGGCCCGAATGATCCTTCGCTTACCCCTGCTCACCAATCAGACGCATTGAGAAAGAGGATCTTCCTATTGCGCGACGAATCTAATTGGTCGAACATCGGGTTCTGAAGGATCAACATGGCTTCCCTTGAGCACCCCTCGTTGAACCCTCTCCTCTTACACTTCGATTTCCTCTCTGTCTTCTCCCCCATCTATCTCCTTTCTCGCAACTATAAATTCAGCAAGCGCGCCCGCAAATCTCTCTTACGTTTTCCACTCGCAAGCCAGCTTCCGGGAAGCAGTGGCTAGGTGATGCGTTTGGTGCGAGTCGAAAAGTAATGTCGGGCTGACTGTAGGCTGGCCGGCTGCGCGCTTGATCGCCACGACGGACTGTGGGATTCGGGCGAGCCGAGCCGAGTCTGCGTCAGCGAGGTGACGATCGCAGTGGTGGAAGTTAGCACTCGACGACCGGGATCGTCGGTGCGGGTATGAGGATCTGTAATTGGAGTTGGGTGGATGATTGGCCTGGGGCCATATTGAAATTTCACGGCGAATGCGCCTCCATGATTGCGGGTTATTTTTTTCGGTGTGAGTTCATGGCTGCAAAGTCGAATGTTCCTTTGTCGGATTCCGGTGTCTCTTATCTCGACATTCTTCGACTCTCTCTCTCTCTCTCTCCCTCATCTCTCTCTGATTTGAATGACGATGTGCTATGAGTTTGCCTCTCTTGTGACCCAACGTGAACTCTCGTGACTCCCTGTGAAGAAGAACTTTTTCCCAAACTCTTCCATTAGTTTCCTGGTAATCCCCGGATGTAAGGGAACTCAATCCTCTTGTCTTGTGAACGGTGGATGCGTGTGTACTATCCCCCGATTTGTCTTAGATGCATCATTGTCATTCTCGCACCTTCCACAGTGGATGTTTGCATGGAAATGTTTGTATGTGAATTTTTGCGTTGATTAGACCCTGATCTCGAAGGGATTTTGTTCGAGAATGCAAGACTGTTTAGATCTATTGTTCTGAATGCACTGCGCATGCCATCTGCCTTATGTTGTACGACATCTGCAGACAGTCTATGGGGCAGTCTAGAAAAAGCCAGGCGCCTCGTGTTTTTGTTGATCTGGTCTGCCGAAACTGAGTCGCGGGTTAATCCCTCAAAACTCCAACCCGATTAATGCATGGATGCTTCCCTCGTGTCAAAAGGAAGGAAAATACTAGCTATTTTTTTTTCGATTGTGCTTTTTGATAACGTCTCGAGGGTTTATGCAAACTGCTTTTGATTGATTGATATATGGACTTACTGCCGCTCCTCGATCGGGCGCCAGCCTCCTGTATCTCCCCCGCCAACGCGCCCCTTCCCTTACAACGAGGAAAGGACACGTGTATGCGAGTGGGACGTACGAGAAGCTATCGCACGGATCGGTGGACAATATTACTTCCCTCCCGAAAATCGTTGTTCTGGATTCGTGGATGCGGGCTTTGTCATGATTGATACGCACTTCCATCCCTACTCAGTGTTGTTGTCATTTAACAAGCTAATCGTCATTTCGTGGATGGCAGTGGCGCCCCATTGGCCTCGAACCCTGCGCAATGAGTGTCAGCGTTTCGATCGCTACGAATCAAAGGGCTTCCACTACCGGATACGGAGTGAAGACGAGCACAAGGAAAGAGCCACGCGGTTGAAACCATCCACGTAGAACTCGGAACTGGCCCACGAGCGCGCCGAGACTTGATACAGAAATGGGACACGCGGAGTGTATCGAAGCCCTTCCGCTTAAAACGAAGATCCGTAGTGCGGTGGGAAGCTCGACAATACTTTTTGGATTAAATTTGGATTTTTCTCTTTTCGCGTCGTACCCGCGCGCGCATTCCGCGACGCGCGAAAGCAACCGACTTACTTCATCGGGCCAACACAGGGGATTTCAATTTTGTCTGTGTCCCCACACTCAATTTTCCAAAAATCCTTGGCACACCCCATCTTGCTGTTTTTCTGGGCCTTCTTTCTGCACTCTTAGCACTCCGAACGGAAGACAGCACAGGGCGTGAGGTTGCGCGTCACATATGTCCCGAAGGCGAAGAGGGTGCGTTTGGATGATGCATCTGCAAGGGTGCCTCGTCGTGGAGCGCAAGGTTGGGCGGCAGCAGCGGAAGGGGACTACGACGAAGACTTCATGGCGGAGGAAGAGCAGGCGACCACGTCTGCAGTACGGAAGAGCGGTCGGCTGTGATCTTCTGATCACAACGGTCCGAAGAGGATGCTAACCCCTTCACACGAGGCGCAGCAACTGAGTGCCCGCGAAAGGCGGACAGAGAAGGCTGTCGTCGTCGATCTTGGCGTCGATGATGACGAGTCCTTGGAAAAACGTCGCCTACGCACTCATGCAACAGCAACCCCACCGCCGGTGTTGGTGGCACGCGCTGTCACGGGTAGACTACCCGCCACACCGTCGTAGCCACGTCAGCGCAACCCGGGTGATGACGGAGGGTCCGTCCAACGTGGCGGCAGGGGGGAAGTCGTGGTAGAGGCGCGCGAAGTTGGCGGCGAGCCGGCAGGTGCTGCGGGTGCGGGTGCTTCAGGCATTGTGGCCCCCGTTGCGACGGCGAGAGAGGAAGCAACAGTTGTGGTGACTGCGAGAGAGGATGTGAGTGGCGAGAAGAAAATCGATCGGGAGGGCGGCGAGCCCGGTTCAAGCCGGGTACGTAGGGGAGTGATGACGAAAGACCTCATCGATCGTGCCGTCCTTTGGGTTGATCACAAAGCTTTCCGGACGACGGGGGAGGGGCGAAGACTTTACAACATCGTCCACGAAATGAGAGAGTACTTAGTCGCCATCGCCAGCGGACTTCCACCACCTGCCGTCCCTCGGAGCGTCGTACTGCCCAAATCCAGCACGAGGGTAGCCAGGGTCGCCGACCAATCACAGCTGCAGCAAGCGATTTCCCGTGCGGCGACAGTGGAGAACATTGCTCTCCGCATCTTGCACGGCTGGGTATTCAAGTCGGGGAACCGCCCAAGGGGATACAATGTGGCTTTCCAGTACTCGCTGGAATGCGTAGCGACAGACATTGTGCGTGCTATGTGGTACGGCGAGGAGTGGTGCAACGTTGTCAGTCCAGTGGTTTGCGCGCATACGATAGATCAGTCTATGGACTTGCCACTGTGGTTCGCTGGCGCCAACATCGAGGACAGACCGGACGACGATGACATGGTGGCGCACCAGGAGTCCACTGTAATCAGCGTAGCGCATGCGTTCCGCGCGGTGATGCAAATGGGTGCGCTCATCGACGGTGATTTCATCTCGCACGATCGTCTTTGTCGGGTGGCTGACTGCTTCAGGCTGTTGTTGGCGGCGTGCATGTGGATAATGCGCATGGCAGGAGACGATCCGTGCAACCACTACGAAGCTTTCTATTTCGCGAGCCTCGTGGCAAAGCCCACACTCGTCGCGGCCATGCATCGCTCCTTCGATCATTGACGATCCGTCGTCCACGCCGCAAATGTCGTCACGGAAAGGCTCGGGAAGGCGAACGCCACGTTTGGAGAGTACCCCGACTACATCCCTCAATGGGCACCCTGCGGCATTAGTTTCAGGCACGACGTGAGAATAATGGGGCCGGAGGATGCGAAGAAGCTGGATTGGTTGGTTTCGGTCCCCCCCGATGATGACAACAACGACGACGGAAAAGATGACGTGTAAGGGGGGGGGGGGGGTTGCTTCTGTGAACGCGGGCGCGTGTACGCGTGGCCGGTCGTGACGGGCTTCACTGTGGTTGGACCGTTGTGAAGTGCGCACCTGTTTAGTGTGTCGGTCAGAGGGATTCGGCAGAATCGTCGTCGATTGCGTAGATGTTTAGCGCGTCGGCTGTGGCACAACGACGGGTTGATTCATTTCAATGATCGTGTATTTTGCATTTAGTGCAGTTGTTTAGTGTGTCGGTCGTTGGAGTCGACGACGAGTTCATTGGATTCATTCCTGTATTGTGTTTTTTATCATCGCAGTTCGCTGCGCAAGAACTTCATAGCACTTTTAGTGCACCCTTTTTTTTTGTCATGTGTCCGCTGTTCTCGTCCCTTCGGTGGAATGATTTAAAGATGATTGCCTCCTATGCATGCACACAATCCATGTTTACCTCTCTCTGGGTTTTTTTTTCTTCGTTAACTGACGTTATACAGCTTTCATCAATGATTTCAACAGCCATGTTTGACGTCCCACCACACCACGACACGAAAACATTCCCCACAAACGCATTGAATAGACACAGAAAAATAAAAAAATAAGTAAATAAAAATAACAAAAAAAAAAAGAAATGAAGAGGCACACAAAATTTAAAAAAACGAACTTCCTACCACACGAAAGCATTCAAGACAAACGATTTGAAGACACACAGAATAGAAAAAAAAAAAACAATTTCGGGAGAGACACACAAAAAAAAAGGTTCTTCCAATATTAAACGTTCGCACAACTGTACGAACCACGGAACCGTCCACACGATGAAAACAACAAAGGAACTCATCTGCGACAACCATGCCGCCATTCAATCGACCCAGCAACTACGCGCACAACGACCGTAAACACGGGCCACGACAAAATTTCACCCGCCTACCGATCGCACCAACCCACGTCCCCCCCGCCCCCTCCCGTCTGCACGGTCCTACATCAAAGCGACTCGGTCTCGACGTGCATCCCGCAACAAGTCCCCGTCCACGTTCGTGCTCGGCCGCTGCCCGCCCGCGCCATTCCCCACGATGCCCAAGTCTACTCTGCGCCGAACGCCATTCTCATCCACCTCCCATAAAAGGTTCTCATCGAAGTCGATCCCCGCGTCGAGGAGGATGTTGTGGAGAGTGCACACCGCCACGAATTGTTGTGGCAAGGTCTCCAGGTTCGTCTTGTGGGTGCGCAAGAANTCGATCCCCGCGTCGAGGAGGATGTTGTGGAGAGTGCACACCGCCACGAATTGTTGTGGCAAGGTCTCCAGGTTCGTCTTGTGGGTGCGCAAGAACAGACGCCACATGCACTTCAGTCGCCCGAATGCCCTCTCGACACACCCCAGCGCCACCTTCTGCCGCGTATCGAAGCGCTCCTAGTCAGGACCTTGGTCAATTCCTCCGTACGGCTGCACGATCCATGGACAGGCAACTGGATAACCGTTGTCGCCTAGCAGGTAACTTCGCGTGACGACACCGTGTGGCAGCTTCTCCGGAGGTGCGTCGAACAGCTCCCCAGCTTCTGCACGCCTCCATAGCTGGGAATTGTACAGGACACAGACGTCGTGCACACTTCCCGGGTATCCGATGTGGACGTCGAGGAACCGCAGATCCAAATCCACCACCACCTGCGCCTGCACGGAGAACTTCTGTTTGCGGTCGTAGTAGTTGTCCGAAGGTGCGCCGGCGGGGTTGTCAATGTAGATGTGTGTACAGTCGATTGCGCCGAAGCAGTTCGGGAAACCCTTGTCACGGAAAGCGCGCTGAATCTGCGCACGTCTACGGCCCACTGGCCACTTTATCGCGTCGGGGTACGCCTGCAGCAGCGCCGAAGTGACGTCGCGGACGGCCTGCAGTCCAGTGGCCCTGCCCATGTCGAAGGCTGACATGCCGCTCTCGTAAGTCTCTCCTGAAGCCCACCTGTACAACGTGAAAGTGATCACCTGCTCCACTGGCAATGTCATCCTATAGTGCGTGACCTTCTTCTCCACGTACGCAGCGCACGCGGCAACGATCTGCCTGAACATGGCCATCGACATGCGCAACTTCTGGCGGTAGTACTCGTCCGTCGCATCATCACACAGGCGAAGGTCCTCCCATGTTCTGCCAGTCCGTCGTCTAATCCACCAACGTGGGGTATGCCGCGGGAAAACGCCAGACGACAGTGCGACACACAACTGGACGACTCCCTCACACGTGGCCATGCAATCCGGCGCGTCGGCGATGCTCCGCAACGGCGCTCTTCGTTTATGGAGCTGCAACAGCAATTTCGTCAAAACGGACATATTTTATTTTTTGAATGAAATTGAAACCTCATAAATTAGCACGATTTAGGTGGAAATTTCAAGCTCTTGAGGGTCCGGCGTCCTTAAAACGCTGGACCCCTTGGACGTATCTCGACTTAGCTGGAGTCCAGGGGGTGGACTTCGGTGGCATCCAGGGGGTAGGGCGTTTTCAGAACGCCGTACCCTCAGGAGCTGAAAATATCGACCTAAATCGGGCCGATTTTTGAGTTGTCAATTTCGTTTAAAAAATAAAAAATGTCCGTTTTGACGAAATTGCTGCTCTGCGTCAGCATGTCGCGTGAGGACAACGACGTACCGCTCATCGTGTTGACGACGACGACAGTCACCGCCATCGTCACCATGTCGATCTCTTCTTCGCGTAGACCGTGCCCGCAGCCGCGAACGTCCATCTCTGAGAATCCTTCCGCCTCTATAGCGTGAAGCCTGCTACAGCCGCCAAAGACATGCCTGCTGCTCAGGAGACCACGCACGCCGGAGCCAAAGATGCGCCCGCTGCTGTACGCTGCCACAGGAGATGATGTACGCCGGAGCCGAAGACGCGCCCGCTGCTCTACGCTTCCACAGGACAGCACGCATGGCGGAGGTGAAGATGTGCCTTGCAGGAAGATGCGCCCGCTGGTCACAACTTGCGTGGACTCGGAAGACGGATACCCACGCCGAACGGTTCGCCAGCGCCGTCTTTTGTACGTCACACGCGTCGCCTGGCCGTCCTCCGGCCCGTCACCCTGCGTCCGCGAAAATTCGAATTTGAATTTTTGAAGGTCGGGGTGACCGCGCTTTTCACCGACCCCTCCTCACCCGCCCAAGGGCCTCCGGAGTGTGTACCACGGACACCACCCAGGAACGGACGGACATCGGCGACGCGGCTGCATATACGCATATGAAAACCGGCTGCGGGAGCCCTTTTAGGACAAATCCTAAAAGATGGTTTTTAGGATTGCGTGTAACAACGCCGCACGAAATCCTAAAAAACCTTTAGGACTCGTCCAAAAAAATTTAGGATTCTTTTAGGAGTGTCTAACGAGACCCTAACTGTGCATACTTGATTGCCTATCTGTTCAGCTCGGTTTCCTGCAGACAGACAATTGCAGCACCGTTATTCNTTAGGAGTGTCTAACGAGACCCTAACTGTGCATACTTGATTGCCTATCTGTTCAGCTCGGTTTCCTGCAGACAGACAATTGCAGCACCGTTATTCCTAACCACTGTTTTGATGAGGGAACGTTCCAAAAAAAAAAAAAAAAAAAAAAAAAAAGGGAACGTTTGTGTGCCACCTGTCGTGTTCCCAGGCCACGGATATTCCAAGATAACACTTTTAGTTTATCCACCTGTCGTGTTCCCAGGCGACGGATATTCCAAGATAACAGTTTTAGTTTTCCATTTAGTGGGAATTAGGTAATAAGTCAGTTTCCGTGAGCTTTGTTAGGATCTGTTGGAAATCCCTTAGATACTTGAGTTTTTTGGAAAACTGCTGTGGGCTTCAGGAGGTGCGTAGAATCGTTGATATAGCATAGTCTCTTTTATATACTAATCACCATCATCATCATCATCATCATCATCATTATCATCATCATTGGAATTACTATTTACACTTTTCTAAGAATGACTAGAAGTCCATCATTACTAGCATCACCATCATCATCGCATGAGGGAGGCTGAGCCCGGTTCTCAGCATGTTCGGTTCGGTTACTCCGGGTAGACTGTGAGGACCCCGGCCTCAATCTTCATTTGAAAAAAAAAAAAAAAAAATCAAGAAAA